ACCAAATAACGAATTTCGCTTAAATTATTTAAATTGGTCACAACCAATTTTCAATACAAAATTCCAACAATAAGTACATTAATGGACATGCAGGATTACAACGTTCGAGCCTGCAAAAAGGACTTGTGATTAGATACTGAACATTATTCCGACCTTGCATTTTTTTTCTCTTCGAATAAGACTAATAGGAGTATGTAATCAAGAAGTAAATGGCCGTGAAATCTTGATATCTCCCTCGTAATTAAGTAGGAAATAGTGAAGAAAAATAGGTTCGTTTATACATTTTCTTGTTCCTCGCTGTACATTAATGTATATTTTTGTTTGACACATACTAATTATATCAAGGGTCTGCCTCTATGTTTGTATGCCCCTTGGTCTATTTGTTTTATGTTATGTACGCATTTTCACGAACCGAAAGTTTCTCATTTTAAATGAAACAAGAACTTTAGAATGGTGTTTTTCATGGCATTGATGGGAACCTCCATCAGGTACTTCATCGATCTGTTGTCTAATTTTGAATTCTTTTTTTTAGCATGAAAACTAGCATAGCATCATACCTTATGGTTGAGAATTTCCTTTTAATTTAGTAGAAATCAATATAATATTATTGTCGTCACTCATCCATGAATGTGCATGGAATAGACAAATGAGTTCAATAGCGATTTCATTGTTTCAGAGAGTGGAGAGAAAACTTTGAATGTTGTCTATACAGGGGATCTTCGAAATAACCAGTGCGTTGCCATTTAGCGCTTCTCAATGCAGTCATGGCTTACCGCCAACAATTTGTGGCAAATTTTTTTCTCCAATTTAGATATTATTTTGTGAATTCTATCATACTGTAATATGCATTTATAATATCTCAAAACAACTGTTATATTTCTTTCTCTTCTTTCTGTTGATTAAACCCTGAGTTGTTTTGCATCACCCTTGAATATATCGATAATATGACAACTATATTGGGGCTTGAAACTTCACAGTGTTAAACAGTTTTCTACGATGAAATTTTCTCGAAAATATTTTTAAATTTGATTTTCTCAGAAGGAGATATGTATGAATGATAAAAATCTTTGTTCTTAGATTTATTGGGTTTATGTGGAATTTAATTGTGCTCTCAATGAAATTGCTTCAAGTCTTGAGAAGTGGGCACATATGTAATCTAATGTAAAATGAAAAGAGTACATGCTTTATGACATTAATTTGTCACTTCATTACGTTGAATGTTATTGTGCAATCTATTGTTAGTGAGCAACTTCTCGTCTATGACATATTTGAACGTTCAAAAAATATAAATCATAGAACCAATGTTTCGATGTTCTAACACAATATAAGCATGCATTAATCAATTTACATAATTAAATATTTAGATGTTGTAAAATAATTTGCCCTTTAAACAAAATCCTTTCCAAAATTATAACGGTAATCACGCACATTGTTCTAAAAAACGTGAAAATGTGCCGCCTAGGCGCGACGCGCGACCAAAACGCGTCGAATTCGGGAAATGTGGGAAAAATGCGTTTTCCAACTAAAAGGCGCGCCTAATGCGCGCATTAGTCCGTCTAATCCCCCTTTTTTTTTTTAAATCTGTTTT